TATCTCGAGCATGGGCGTAGGAAGCATCCTGAATGTGGGGGGGACATTTGTAACGGGGGGTGTGGGGGCGAAAAAAAATATAGATTTCCTGTATTCTGGTGCATTTTAACAGGTGGTTTGATACTTTTATGTGGCTATACTAGCATGAGGAAAATGATGGGTACATTTTGTAATTTCATCCAGTAGTAAAGAAAGGAAACATATTTGATTATTAATTCAGAGCTGTCTTTGAATTAATAAAAAGCAGTTTAAATGCCCATTTTTGTACATTTATATACAACAATAAATATTTGTGAGTGCATTGAGAGATATTGTTGTGGAGCGTCATTTATATATAAATCGCAAAATACATTTGTGAATCCTTCTGTGAGCATTTATTAATATTGAGACTGATCTGACTCCATACAGATGTTAAGTTCACCTAGGAATGGTATCATTGACTTAAATGTTCAAATAAATGTTGCTCTTCTGTCTATATTGGTCATATGATGCCCCTTGACTGAAATGTTTCCTGTTCAAGATCCCCACTGATTTCCTTAAAATCCTGGGATGAGAGTCCACATCACAATTTACTCTCAACTGTCATTTCCCTTTCATCACTCACCTCAGCAATGGACCTCTCTCCACTGTCCCTGTATTCTGCCTCTGACTCACTCTCAAGTGCCTAGATGTCAAGAGAGGTGGTGAAGTGATCATTATTTATTGAGCAGTATACTCTTTCACATTGAATCATAACAAGTCATACTGAATGTAAATACAACTGACTCTAAAGTAAGTCCCAGTCTGTGACATTGGACATTTTGAAGACTCAAAGTCCCAAGCAGTAGGTAGAATATTAGCTAGTCTATGTCATGTGCATAGCAAATAAATAGTTAACTGAATACTGGGATGGAAATAGCCTATAAGCACTCAGTAAAACATAAACACACACAAAAAGCTTCTGAATGATAAGTATAATTAAAACATAATGCACATTACCATTTTGAGAGAGAGTACCTAAGTTAAAGAACTCAGAAAAGAATCTCTTAACGAACTGAGGCTCCAGTAAAACACACTGACTGCGTCTCTACATGGACATCAGTAAGCCGTTTATGAGTATTATCCCGGTTATGATCATTTTGGGGATATGGTGTTTACATGAGCACAGAGAGATCGGGTTATTCATGTTCCCTGTTTACATGATAAATACTAGTAACCTGGCATTTCGATGCCTTTTCTCATCTAAACTATTCAGTATTTGTATCTCTCTATCATGACATAAAGACGAAACTCCTCTCCAGAAGTGAGACGCCGCCATCACTGTTAACTGATTAACTGCTACCAGCTGATGACTTACTTTCCTCTTCGTTGAAAAAAATGTTCTTATGTCCATGTTTTCTGGGGGAGAAAACATATCAAACCAAGAGATCGTCAGCTTTGATTTTCGCTGTATTAACCATTTCCTGAACATTTGGTGTGTGTGCCTTACCTCCGCTACCGGCATCGCTTCATACAACAGATCTGAGCTGTCCAACTATGATAACACTCCTTGAACATGCGCGCGCTATGTGAGAATCTGCCTTGGTACAAAGTAGCAGTGAAAACATGGTACGGAGTTTCATTGATTTGGGCATTCTCTCAATAAGCAAGTGGAATGGATTTCATTTGATAGTGAAGCACTGACACAGCGCTCTACAAAGTGCGGCGAGTGGATAGACCGATTCACGGACTTTCCGCATAGTAAAAGTGGGGGGGTCTAAACTAATCATTTGAAAAAGTGGGGGGGACTTGTCCCACCCTAATATAATGGCTGCGACGCCCATGATCTCGAGCCGGTTTCTCAAACTTACCTACCCCACCTTTAAATGTAAATATTTTTCACATATTATTTTTCTCTCAAACCCATCAATAATATTTTAAACACTTACATCCTTGTTCCACATTTCCCTCACATCTTTAACCTCATCATGAAGAGCATTCAGCTCCGCCTCTGCGTTACTTGGTTCGATGTGGACCGGGATCAACACCAGATTCTGCACAACTGGAGGCAAACAAACAAACAAACACACACACACACACAAACACACACACACACACACACACACACACACACACACACACACACACGCCGTTATCGAAACCTAAGTCTAATTTAAAAAAAAGTATTTATCTTTAAACATTCCATTTATATCTTTCCTAAAGTTAGGACCTCACAATATAAAAGGTCCTCACAACTTAGGTTGCCTTCACACCAAATAGTCCGCTTCTCTGATAAAGTCAAAGTCAACTTTATTGTCAATCTTCCAGTTTGTGTGTACAGACAGAGAGATCGAAATACCGTTTATCAATACACAATCAATGACACATGTACATGTGCACACATTAAGACCTAAATAAAAACACAACAATCAATATATACAAAATAACAGTCACTTCAATATTTTGAGAATGTGCGTTAGTGTAAGACTGGTGCTCACCAGACGACAGTTTGTTGCATTATTTCATTTTTCAGAAGGTTTGCGTTGCGTTCACACGGACAAAACTCAAACGGACAATAAACTTTAACCTGTTAAGCCCTGAACCTGTTTTTCAGGTCTCAGGCTCGAAAATGACATTCCCAGAACAAATGACCATATCTTCCCTTCTAAAAGGGTTACATTAATAATCTTTTTTCTCAAAGTAATGATAAACCTGTGAGTTGGATGTAGAAAAGTCAGAATTAATATAGATGTTTTTTATTTTAAAGAAAATTCAGATTTTACATAGTAAAAAACTGTAAATTATAGTGTCCGTCCGAAAATTCTTTTTTACTTATAGTGAAAACCACCCTTGGATGATGGGTTAGTAGACTAAAAGCTTTAGGAATCCAAAGTACAACATATAATAAGTACCCTGTATCAAGATTGATGCAAAAAAAAGTGACATTTGACCTTTTTAGAGAGATTTAGCAAAAAGAAACCACTTCTGGGGTCATTTGGGTGGATTTTCCATATCTCTGGCCCCCCTTGCTCGATTTTGATGGTTGACACCTCTTTCTGACCGTTAGAGCCAATAGAATCGAAGGAGGAGTCCCTCACACACACACGTTGTGAAGAGAAAAGGTGGGGGCTTCGTGCATGTCATTTTCAATCAGAGTGAACCGATCTCTAGCTTTGACATCTGGAAACGGAAAAGCAGTTTTAATGCTTATGGATTATCAGAAATCATTTCAAAGGGACACAGACACATTAGATTAACCTATGGATTAACTTCAGCAGCGTTTTTATCGTTTTAATGCCATTGAAGACCACTTTGGAGAGACTACAGAGCCAAGGTAAAAATGTTAGCATTTTTAGCTACCTAGCGTCACCTGTTTTGATGTCTGTTTTTGCTTATAACGTCACAAATACGTATAATTCAGTGGTAATGTCGGTGTCAATAGATTCTGTGTCACCTCACGATGTGAATCGATGTGTTGGATGTGGTGAAAAGATAAATAATAAGGTTTCGTGAGTGATTTTCGGTGCAGTAAGGTGTTAGCATTTTTCGCTCGTTGCTAATTCAGAGGCTCAGTGTTAGTATTGTGGGATTTCTTTTGAAAAAAAAAAAAAAGATCAGTTAGAGGAGTTTCTTCCCGTTACATGGATATAAAACATTCATAGTTTTATTAAATGAACATGCCCTCAGACACTGTTTCCTGCAAGATGTTGCGGCAGTGCCCCGGTACCGGGGTCTCTCGGGCTTAACAGGTTAACACTTCATTCTGCTTTACTCTTTCACTAAGGATTTTGAAGACATCCGCGTTCTTGTGACTCGTAAATACTACGCTTCCTATGTTTTGATGCAGACTGCGTTCACACCAGAGATGAACCGCTCCAGAGGTCACTAGCAAGCGGTCTGAGACCACCTCTTTTAGGTTGTTTAGTTCACAGGTCTCAGACTGTGTTCATACCGACCCAAACAAACCGCACCAAGGGGGTAGACGCACCAGGGTTCGATTCCACCGGACTAAATAAAGCTGCTGTTAATGCGACCTAAAACTACAAGTGGTCCTCACAATGATAGCCGTGCAAGACATATGCAAACACACATAAACACACCTTTGAGGACCTACATAAAAAAAACACTCTTGCCTAATCTTTAACCCCTATTTTAACTAAAGAAGTGCTTTAACATTCAAACAGTCCATTGAAGGTCTGTACCAAAATAGAGAACAGGCCAAAATGTCCTCATAATCCATAAAGGACACAAAACCCTAATTGCTCCACACACACAAACACACACACACACACACACACACACACACACACACACACACACACACACACACACACACACATACCTGTGTTTCGACAATTGAGAAGGACAATGAAAGGCTGTATGGTGATCACAGCATTTACTCCCTTCTGGTAGGATTTTATTATCTCCACTTCTTTCTTTCTGAAACACAAAGCCACAAACATATACTGTATTATAAAGCTCATAAACACACATGCTATGTTTTGTTTGTTTATTAATGTATTTTTGTTAGATAGTGAGATATCTCATAAATCACTTGAAGTTTTTCAGTAAAGCCTTGTTGGAAATGTTTGTAGAGTTTGGCCCAACGGCACAATGTGTTGATTTGTAAAGCCTATGATGTTCTGGGTCTTAGCTACCAAACCATAGACATAAAATAAATTGTAGGAATTAAAAGATTGAAGTCAAGCGTCTCAAAGAAGAGTAATGTAATGTGTCACAGATTACTGGTTCAAAAATAAACATTACTGTTTTTTTTGTCTTTGATATTCCACACAGTTTTTCAATAATAATTATCCAATTGAATGTGGGTGTTACCAATTTAAGACATATTTTAATTCCTGTGAGACATAACGTATAGCTCAATTGGTAGATTGATGTGTACTGAGGCTTGGTCTGAATCCAGTTCAAAGACCATTTGCCGTGTGTCATCACTCTCCATTTCAGGTCTGTCTCTACAATGAAGGCACTGGTTGCCCCAAAAGGTAACCACACACAGGATTGTCTGTACTTGTGTTTCTGACCTGTAGAAGTAGACAAACTTCTCCCTGCTACCCTCCGGTCCCAGAGGTTCACTGCACAGAATGCCGTACGGATTACTTCTGTTATCTCTGCCAGAAAACAGAAACAACTGGAACTGAACATCTCTCACAATCATCAATCATTTGTTTGTATCATTTTAGATGCCCCATAAGATTTAATTACCAACACTTGTTTTTAGGCAAAAGTGAAAAGAGGTGCTGCAGCACAGGCAGTATGAGATAAATAAAGAGCTTTCTGAACATTAAAGCATGTAAACATGTCACAAGACACTAAATACACATTTTGAACCTGAACCTGCAGAATAGGGCCCCTTTAAATGAATGTGCATGCTTCTATGTGTGGAGAACTCACCCATATGCATTAAGGTGTTGGAGGAGCAGTTTCATGGGATCACCACCTGTCTCATCCATCACCTCCAGCAGCACCACCACGCTGTACTGAGACATGATCTGCAAAACACAACCACAGAGAAAAGAAAGCATAGAACTAAAAGCACTTTTAACATGTTATAAATGTTTTCAATGCATAAAAAACAGCTCCTTTCCTTTAATTTTCTCGCCATGTACAAAAACATTAACTGAAATATTACACTGAACAAACTTGTGTGGTTCAGCACGGTGAGTTACCTTAATGATAATTTCCCGTACGGCCTTTTTGTTGACTTTTTCCCATCCCAGTCTCTTCACATTGAAGGCAGCGATCTTCATTTTGACTAAAAATGTAAATCAAATGAATTTCATAGATTTAAACCGATACACCCAACATATTATCAAGGCCAGTGGTGAACAGTAACTAAGAACATTTACTAAAGTGCTGTACTCAATTACAAGGTACTTAACGAGAGTATACTGTATGTCCAATTAAAGAAACTCTATTATTTTACTCTTCATCCAATACCTGCCACATTTCCTTACTTTTTCTCTATTGGGTTTCCATTTATGGGAGAAATAATCTCTGTCGCTAACAAATGTTTATGATACTTACATGTTTGGTTCAGCATAATCTGCACATATTAACACCACTTTATGATTTTTGAAGCGTAAATGCAATTGCCAGAAGTAAAAAGGATATCAAAGTCAACTTTATTATCAATCTTTCAGTTTGTGTGTACACATGCTTTGAAGCACTACAGTATCCTGTTGAAGGAACTGATAATATAATACACAAGGGAAAACAAGGTGAATTTAACCATCCTAACGACAATGGCCAAGACACACATTGAGAAAAGAAAACAAATGTTATTAAGGGCTGTAAATATAATAAGCCTACGTCTAAAATCGACAACATTGTTAGGAGATTTAACCGCTTGAGGCCTGGGCCCTAACCCTCGAAAATGACATGCCCAGAAGGAATGAGTATATCTTCACTTCTAAAAGGGGAATATGAATAACCTTTTTTATCAAAGCAATGATACACCTGTGAGTTGGCTGTAGAAGTGTCAGAATCAATTTAGATGTTGCTGTGTCAGAGTAAATTCAGACTTCACACTTTTCCCCATTGTCTAACATTGGGAAAGAGACGTCTGTAAATCAGCAGCACATTTTTTTAAACTAAATAAACTACCCAGTATTAACTATTGTATAGAGTCAATAGGTCCTTAACGTTGTAAAATGCGCTATCTATCTATCTATCTATCTATCTATCTATCTATCTATCTATCTATCTATCTATCTATCTATCTATCTATCTATCTATCTATCTATCTATCTATCTATCTATCTATCTATCTAGCATCTCCTCTGATATAAAGTGTTAGATCAGCATGTTTTATCCATAAACTGTATTATCCCCGACAGGGGCGGTTCTACGGGGGGGTTTGCGATTCAGATGAGGCCCCCTCCGCGAGGTGGTGAGGCCCACGCAGTCTGCGTGATCTGCGTGTAGGGAGGGCCTACCTACACCCACACATGCAAATAAACCAGTTCAACAAGTCACACAATGCTGTCTGGCGAAAACAAATAGGCTAATTATCATACTAAAAGGGATTCATCCAAGTGTCCCAACACATTTCAGAAAGAACTGTTTCTGTCAGAACCAGAGAAGAGTTAAATGTATTTTTGTAACTAATTAACTGATAAGATACAAGTAGAGTTTAAAATATTGCTACAGATATAATTTCACATACTTTTATCAGAAATAATGTATTAATTTATTCAATTCTGGTCTTATTTCAAAATCTTACACATTTGAAACTTAGTTATAGTGAATTATCAAAGACATTATATTTCTATTAGTGTTTTATTTCCACAAGCGAACATATAAGAAGGGCGGGGTCCATGACAGGTGCTCATGCTATTTTGACTACCACACTGACCCAGTGTTGTAATATTGCAACAAAATCAAATTTGATGAATGTATTCCACAAAGACTAAATATGTACATGTTCTTAACATCGTAATAATCACAAAAAAAAACATTTGAGGCATTTTACTTACTTGAATCTGACAAATCCAATCCAATAAAACAAAGAGATATCGCTCGATTGAAGATGCGGAAGTTGTGTGAGTGTATGGCCAGAGGGCAGGACCTATACACACCTTTAATATCCAATAGCATTGTGAGGCTGAACAAAATCGACGTGTTTTTGCTGATGGGAACTTGGGTCCCCCTCGCAGTGCGGGTGCAGCGAGCTGTTTCGCCGATGCAGAGCGGAGTGCACGTGCTGGGTGTACAGTGTAACCATGTCCTGGATGTAGGAAGGGCCAGATTGGCCATTGTCTTGAAGTGGATTCCAGCAGTTACTGGAAGCCAGTGAAGTCATTACATGACAGAGAGTTCCTCATCACATGACGTCAACACAGGACAGGTATTGTTCGCATGTAAATAAGCTTGTATTCAACACGTTACTTTACATATATATATTTGTTTATGTAAAGTAACAGCAGTGCAGTGAACTTCAACACGGAATCCGAGGTACGAAGACCCTTTTTTCATACTGTACAAAGAATCAAGAAACGTTTGGTTTTAATAGATGAAGTAATGACTATAATTAATTATGAAGGTAGATATGGTGCAAAATGCGAGAGCATGTAAAACCTGATGTGAGCACTTGCAGAAAACAAATCTGAGCTTGTGTGCATACATTTACACTTGTATAAAATATCCATGTATCTGTGAACCACATTTGAAGTCACAGAAGAAAAAAAAAAGTTTTGTGGCTTGTAGAAAAAAAATGAACTTACTGTAGTGAAGAAATGTTCACTTGCAGAAAAATGTATATTTTTAAAATATATTTTCCATTACAACTGCAACTTGGTTATTACAACCTCTCAAATCAGTCCCTTGAGCTTAGATCAAAATAAGAAGGAAATAAAATAAAGACATTTGTAGGACTATTTATATTTTGTTGCACGTTTGAAAATGTTTCGTATCTTGTATTTTGAGGTGATACTGTGACACATAAATAAATAAAAACAACGTTTTAATTAGGTCAACTCAAATATGCATTGCATCCTGCTACGGTCCCGCACCAGCGCCTTTTCTTGCAGGTGACCTGACCCCCGGCTCGATGAGGGAACTATGGAACTATGGATAAATCAAAGAAAATAAAAGTATTGGAGGAACACAGAGGGTTTAATTATGCGTGGAGAGAGTTATCTGCTTTCACAGCAAACAATGCTGGCTTACCGGTATGTTTGATATGTGGAGAGAAGTTGTCAAAGGTGCTTCAGCCTTTACGTATGGGAGGAAAAACACGGAAGAGGAAGACAGCTGACGATCTTCAGCCATAATTCAATCACCTAACTCTTTTTAGGATACAGCTATATCTTTTATTTATTTCAAAGTGGGCCCATTTTAATTATATTCATTTTCTTCAAATGTGCAGAGGACTCCCCAAGTGCTGTGTTAATTTATTTTAAAGTAGGCCTGTGTATTTTTTTTTATTCTCCTTATAAGAGTTCTTTGTTTATTATCAAGGTAAATGATAAATTGAGGTAAACAGTTTTCTATAATGTAATAAATAATAAATGCAAAAAAACTGTCATTTTTGTCTATGATATAACAATATATACAACTTTTTAAGCTATCAAATATGTTTTGCGGCTCCAAACAAAAAACATTGGTGGAAAAGGGGGCAAAATGGCTCTTGGTCAAAAAGGTTGCAGACCCCTGGTCTAGAAGCAAGAACCGCATACGTCACGCTTACATCGGAGGGGGGCGAGATTAACCTGAGCTAACAGTTTATGGAGAGTATGGCAAATAAAAGTTGTAACCAGCAGTAGCTGCTGAGCAAAGTGACTAGAACGCAACCACACACTTATAAAAAAAAACACACTTTATAAAGTCAGGCAACACTAACCAGGCTTCGTGTGATTCTGTTTATTTGTACCTTACTTTGACCATCCGTTCGCTGTTATTGATCATTGTGGAGAGCAGGCAGACGTTTTGTTTGTTATTATAGCAGCTATCGGATGGAATCAATACATGGGCTGCACAGGTTGTCATGTCCGACTATCACAAGTAGAATCATAATGAAAAATACGCCGGTAAAATGTGCCTGTAGAAAACGGCTTATGCCACAATAGGATAGCAACAAGTAGTCAATATAGTCAGTTTAGCTTCGGTTGCTATGCTAACATCACCCATTTTAAACCAGAGAAACTTTCATAACAGCGTTGTGATGCCAAACAGCGTCAATTCAGACTGACACACATTCACTTAAGGGGAACTGGGGATATGTATCAGCTGCTTGTGTGACAGTCAGACAGTGAATACTTGACAGCGGCCGCTGTCGTGAGTTAATAAACTCCAGTGGACGTGCAGCACTGCAGCGGTCGGTACATGCCGCTGTAACACATTAATAAACAATGAACCACAGCACTCTGGAGAAAAGTATAAGGTTGGAGAAGTCGTTATTTAATTTAATCTGGCTTTGTATGATTAAAAGCAACACGATCATCGACCCGACGCAGTCCCCCATTGTTGTTGTTGTGAGCGAAGCACGGAGCTAGAACGGGAGCTGCGTTGGTGTGAAAGGGGCAACAGTAGTCACTAGAGATGGGTGAGTCCTGATTCATCCGGATTATTAACCCGGATCCTAGTAATGAGCTGGTCGTGATGAGTCTCCCCTCTCGATTAACCCGAGTCCTTTGAGTCCTACACCTGGTGACGTACAAATTAAAACTATAAATTGCGTCACTCGCTACTCTCCTTATAACATGTAAAATCACATTACAATGTACCCCAGTCCATCTGCCTAGCCTTTAGCAAGTAGGATAACTGCCAGAAGTTATCGTTTGGCTCAGGGGACGCGGATCAGTGAAACTTCCTGCAGACTCGTGCGGACTCAGAGCCGTAACCGTAGCAGATCCAGAGATCCAGATATCCAGAGATCCAGATATCCAGGCAGACTCGTCATGCACAAGTCAACAGCAGACTCATATTTGCAAATCCTGACTCACTGAATCATGGGAACTTCCTTCACTTCCTGCAGACTCGTGGGGACTCAGAGCCGTAACCGTATAGCAGATCCAGAGATCCAGACTCGTCATGCACGAGCATAGCCGCGGGAACTGGGAAGTCATTTTACTTAGGGGGTGGGGACAAAAGTGGGGAGAGATTTTAACAACAGTAACATGACGTTTTTCAAATGTACACCATTTGCAGCCCAGCCTCCAGCACCCCTACTTCCCGCGGCTATTATGCACGAGTCAACAGCAGACTCAGAGATTCGCAAATCCTGACTCACTGTGCAAAACACAGCAGACTCGTGCGGACTCAGAGCCGTAACCGTATAGCAGCAGATCCAGAGATCCAGCAGAATCGCCAAATCGCAAAATAACCCTTTTTTTTTTATCAACATTTTTTATTAAAGCAAAAGACACTGTGTAGCGGAGGTTAATGTAACGTTAGTTTAATATGCTCGTGAAATGCAACAACTTTTCGGTTTCACCGGTAGGATTTCTACGCTCTTGGTGATGCTGACTCATATGATCCGGATCTCTTCAATGACTGACTCGGAAGACTCCGAGTCCGTAAAAGGATCCGGATTTGCCATCTCTAGTAGTTACTTGTGTGTGACTGACCCGAGGTTGTGCCTCGTCGTTCTGATAGCTCCGCCCCTTCGCTCCAACCCCCCTCCCTCCCCCCCACATCTACAGGTGAAAATTACTTTAGCGACACATTCATCGCAAGAAGTGTAGCAAAAGTCAAGGCTGCAGATTCGTGGATTTATACTGCCACAGAGCAGATTCGTGAAGTTGTAATGACTGATCTGAGAGGTTGTAATAACCAAGTTGCAGTTGTAATGGAAAATATATTTAAAAAATATATTTTTTTCTGCAAGTGAACATTTCTTCACTAAGTTCATTTTTTTTCTACAAGCTACAAAACTTTTTTTTTCTTCTGTTACTTCAAATGTGGTTCACAGATACGTGGATATTTTTATACAAGTGTAAATGTATGCACACAAGCTCAGATTTGTTTTCTGCAAGTGCTCACATCAGGTTTTACACGCTCTCGCATTTTGCACCATATCTACCTTCATAATTAATTATAGTCATTACTTCATCTATTAAAACCAAACGTTTCTTGATTCTTTGTACAGTATGAAAAAAGGGTCTTCGTACCTCGGATTCCGTGTTGAAGTTCACTGCACTGCTGTTACTTTACATAAACAAATATATATATGTAAAGTAACGTGTTGAATACAAGCTTATTTACATGCGAACAATACCTGTCCTGTGTTGACGTCATGTGATGAGGAACTCTCTGTCATGTAATGACTTCACTGGCTTCCAGTAACTGCTGGAATCCACTTCAAGACAATGGCCAATCTGGCCCTTCCTACATCCAGGACATGGTTACACTGTACACCCAGCACGTGCACTCCGCTCTGCATCGGCGAAACAGCTCGCTGCACCCGCACTGCGAGGGGGACCCAAGTTCCCATCAGCAAAAACACGTCGGTTTGCTATCCTGGCTCCAAAATGGTGGAATGAGCTCCCCATTGAAATCAGGACAGCAGAAAGCTTACACATCTTCCGGCGCAGACTGAAAACTCATCTCTTTCGACTCCACTTCGAGCGATAGAATGACTAACAAAGCACTTATATACTAATAAAGAACTGGCTTATCTAAAGCCATGTGAGTAGCACTTGAAATGTTTTGGCTCTATGAAACCTGATGTACTTATATGATTCTGTTTTCTTCAAGTTTGTACCTTCTTGGTCGAATGCACTTATTGTAAGTCGCTGTGGATAAAAGCGTCAGCTAAATGCAATGTAATGTAATGTAATGTAATGATGAGGAACTCTCTGCCACCGCTAACTTAACGTTCAGCAAACTGTCAGCAGCATACAGTCCAGAGAGAGGAACAGACACTAATAAATACAACTATTCTTCTGGCTAAAATACATATTATTAAAAGTCAATCAAGGAGTAATCTTAATTTAAAGTGTTTGAAGAGTAGATTAGTGGTGGCTCAACACGCCATGAAAGGGGAAATAATTAGCTCTAACGAAGAGTGGGATCAAAGGAACAATAAATATGCTGCCATGTTGTCCAGGACATGGTTAAACTGTACACCCCAGCACGTGCACTCCGCTCTGCATCAGCCAAACGGCTCACATCAGGTTTTACAAGCTCTCGCATTTTGCACCATATCTACCTTCATAATAATACACTTATATACATGCCATTAAACATTACCTCATGCTAGTTCACCTACAAATGCGTGAATTTGAGTGTTCTTTCCATGTAAAAAGTTTACATTTAGATGTTAACAAGCAACAAGCAACATTACTTTTTTGTCAGCTTTCTTATTTCGATGTGTTGAAGGTAAAGATTATTTAACACATGGTGAGAATTGCTACTATTCATCTCTTTATATTGTCTGGTAAAAGTGATTATTGCACTGAGACAACCGAACAGAGCAAGCTTCTATAGTTGCACTAAGTTTTGATAACAGTTAAATATTATTTTGATAATAAAATACATTTTAATGTTGATGAACTTCAGACTATTCATTCATAATCTGATTATTTTTGTAGTTTACTGTTGAAGTTTAAAAAAAACATTACAATAAAAGAATGATTATATCTATAGCCCCTAAAAACACACACACACACCTCTTTAATAAACAACACACCTGCTCTATACGATAATGTAATGTTTGATGTTTCCTGTCATTTCTGTGAGGTAAGGACATGCCTGAAAGACACCGCTGCGTCACCATTTTCTCTTTCTTCGAGGGTCAAGAAGAACATCCAAGAGGAAAATGAGCACCTGATATTATGAGATTCAAGACCAATATTCACTCAGAAACTACACTTTTATTGTGAACACAAAGATCTCACAGTTTTGTAGTCTAACAGGAGTTTCATTAGTTTGTGACGCTGCACCTCAGAGAAGGTGTGGTTATAGGGTTATAAAGTGTGGCAAAAACTGGTTTCTGTCAAGTTGGTGTTTATGACATGCTGAGTGATTTCTGACTCACCATAAAATGTTATGACCCGCCCCTAAATCCTTTTGATGTGACAGGCGTCTGTGCACCTCTTTGTAGTCATTATTTTGTATGACTCGTTTGCTCAGCTGTTGTTGTTGTTGTATTGCACCCTATAACTTATTGTTCCTTACATAGTGGGTTAATAATACTTTATTGACCCCTTGTCTCTGCACCTGTTGTAGTGTCCCCCTAATAAACCATTACAGTCAATATTGTTTTATGACTTGTTTGCTCATCTATTGTTTTTGTATGTCCTATATCAGAACACCACCACCATCCCTACCCCCCTTCTTTTCCCTCCCCCCTGCTGATCCTATGAGCGAATAGGGCGTGGAGTTTTACCTGTGACTCTGTCTCTGCCAGGTGTGACAACTGTTGGTTTAAAAAAAAAGAAGTAATCTTTCATATAATCTAGTTCCTTTCTAACACTATGGAGAATAATAATAGACATCTCTGAGGGTTGTAACATCAGTGTTAGTGAAAACCATTTCCTTACATTTAACAACTGACCCCTATTCTCTTATCAAGGTTTTTAAGATAACAATGTCTCCCATTGTCTCCACTATTATGACCTCTAGGGCAGCGGTTCCCAACCTGTGGGCCGTGGCCCCCTAGTGGTCCGCTAAGGCATTGCAAGTGGGCCGCCAAATATTTTTTATGTTTTATTTTGTACAGGCTAGAGACACAATCATGGACATGACAATAACATATAGGAGATGACATTCCAATCTCAGACACAAACAAAAACAGAAGAAATAAAGATACAGTCAGTAGGATCACTTCAACATTTCACAAACAAAAATAAGTTGACAATAAAAAACCACCAAAAACACAACATGGCAAACATATTTATTGTTCCTTCAATCCCACTCTTCGTTAGAGCTCATTATTTCCCATTTCATGGCGTCAAAGCCACCCTTTGATTTTTTGTGGCAATTATTTTTTCCAAAAGAAATTGTGTTTTTAATCTACTCTTAAAACACCTTAAATTAAGATTACTCCTTGATTGACCTTTAAAAATATGTATTTTAGCCGGAAGAATAGTTGTATTTATTAACTGTGTGTGTTCTTCAATCAGAACTTTATTTAGCCTCCGTATTGTTTATGGTTGAATGTGGGCCGCGAAAACATTTTTGATTCTTAAGTGGGCCCTGAGTTGAAAAAGGTTGGGAACCGCTGATCTAACGGGATCCTCATAAAATCCAAAATCCTGCATGTTTAACTACATTTACAGTAAAAGTAGTGTTTTCCTTTACAATATGTGCATTGTTTTTGTATGCGTCCGGAAACAAATATTCAGGTGTAAAAAAAATGGAAAAAGAATAATCTTATATTTATTATAATTTTGTTATTACTACTTTATAAATGTGTAAAGTGTAAGTTCCATTCTTGCCTTGTATTATTATATTGTACCTCACTTTCCCCAAGCTTTGTAAATAGACTTCACTTGGAGAAATAAACATGGTACAGTTCCAGTTGCTTTTACCTGCAAGGAAGTATACATACATATATATATATATATATAACTGTGTATATTGTACCTTGTTGTCTCCTCCTGAAACAGCCAGGATGTTTCCGGTGATGGACCAGCTGACGTGCCAAACCACATCGTTGAACTTGTGGAGGAGTTTAGCCGTCCAGGTGTTTCCAGCCGGGTCGTCACACGTCCAGATGAACACGCGTCCGTCCTGCAAGAAGGGCAGAGGGAACAAATATCAAAAAGTCTTCCCACTGATCTCTGTGCTATGTGAAGCAGAGTTATTATTAGTCAGCTGCTAATTAAACGTTTTCTTCTCTGACCAGCGTTGGAAGAAGTACCCGGATCCTCAACTGGAGCAAAATTAAAAATAATATTATCTTAAAATAGTTAAATAATTAAATAAAAATGTACTTTATGTATCAAAAGCTTTCATAATGCAGAATGGCTTCACCGTTATATTTTTATATTATTCCGTTTTTATCAGAACCATTTCAATTATGTAGTTCGTCAATGTTAAACATATTTTGGATTTCTTGCCTACTACTGGATGGATAAGTAGTTTAGAACTGCAATATATCAAACTGTATGAGCATATTATTATCTTTTTATGTATATAACTTGGTGTCATAAAACAGTATAAGAGTAAAAGGTACATTATTTCTCTGTGTGATGCAGTGAAGTAAAAGTATTAATAATGGAAATACTAAAGAAAGGTACAAGTTAAGTACAGGTGTGTTGACAAATATTCATTTACTGTACTGCAGAAAAGATTAATGCAGCGTGTTTATAATCAGATATGTTCTGATTTTCAGCTCCAATCATGCAACAGGTTCTTGAGAAAGCTACTGAGCGTTTATCTCTGGCGCCACCTAGTGGTACTTCCTGGACTTATAACTTCACACTTTTTTAATTGAATATGTCATTCGTTACTTTTATAAAATCAGTCATAATCACACTGACAGACAAGAGGGGTTTCCGCCGCAGGTTTATATGTACGTAATCTGCGCGACTTGCGCGTCCACATCTCCACGTGCAGTGCTGCATAAACATGGCTGAGTCAGCGATAACTTTCGAGGGGTGGAGGTATGCCCATTATTTTGAGTTCGTCCGAAGAATAGACAGGAATGTGACGGTGAGGTGCAAACTGTGTCCAGGCCAGAAGCTGTTATCCACTGCTGCAAACACCACGTCAAAGCTCAACAAACACCTGCAAAGAACACATGCTAAGGTGAAGCTAATAGCTAAGGACCCCCGAAACCCAGAGTGAGGATGTTGTGAGTGCGCCGCCGCCGACTCCGAAGCAGCACAAATTAGAATTTGGAGGACCGGTAACCAAAGCAGAGATGGACAGGCTTGTAGCATCCTTCATAGTAGAGGTAATGTTTCCCATTTGCACAGTGGAATCACCATCGCATCGTTCAGTATACACAAAATGTTAATAATATCCCACTTTTATATTGTGTCAGCTGTAATTTAGCCCCTCAATAGTGTTTTATTTGTCAGATAATTTACGTATTTTTTCTCACGGTCAACTTCTACATCTTCACTCTTTTAGTTCTGTTTTATCTGCTATTTTCAGATGCTTATATTGTATAATTGTTTACTTTCCACTTTTTTATTTCTAATTACGTGCAGTACTTGTTTTACATGCTGCTGGGATAAATAAAGTGTTTCTTATGTCATGTTATCTGTAATAACTGACCTGGGAGCAGCTGGCGATGGTGCTGGTGGGCAGCCCGATGGACGGAGCCCAGCCGACGTCTCTCACCCAATCACTGTGAGCCTCCAGCTTCTGGTCCTCCTTCCACTGACCGTCCTCCTCTCTGCAGAGAGCAAAGTACACACATCCTTTCCTCAAGTAGAAGTACAGATACTCGTGTTTAAAAATACTCTGGTGAAAGTAGAAGTACTGACTAAACTTCTTTACTCAAGTAAAAGTAAAGAGGGCTTTGAAATGTACTTCAGTAAAAAGTACCCATAACTTGCAGCTGTTTTAAAGAGTACCTGACCTCCCTTTATATTAATAGAACAATAATGTCATTGTTAGCTAATGAATGTTTCCATGCTGAACAACGGCAACATGACAACGTTCTCATTGGTCCCTCTTCTTTAAAGAAGACCAGGAAAAAAACTGTAACAACATTTGAAGTTGGTCCTGGTTGAATTTTCACAATGGGAACAACGGCCTTGTGTTAACATCAGGACATGTAGTAATAATTTGGTACTTCCACACCCTTTACTATTCATCGGATCATACTGACAGACAGAGATTCTGTTTAAAACTGTAAAGACTTTGGTTAGCTCATGCAGCTCATCACCATCTGTATGTTTTCTTTGACAAAAAAGCGCACCTGTCCATGCAGTTTGTTTACAAGTGATACAAATAAATATGATGTGGGAACCGAAACACACATTGTGATATCAGCAGAATCTGGCTGTTTCTCGACTTGAATTTTGTGAAGCAGCCTTGGCTCCTTTATATACAACATGTAGGAGTTCAATATGGATAACACATTTTTAAACTTGTATTATTTTAACAACATTTCTTGTTAACAGTTGTTAAAAAACTCTAAAAAAACAAACTGCATGACTACATTAACCTAATACAATTATTCATGGAGTTTATAATGACACAGAAAGCACAACATATCATTTCATGATTATTTTTTATTGCAGATAACAAAAAGCATTGTTAGTAAAAAAGCAGTGATATACTGTAATGCCATGCGTCTGTGAATATAGTTTAAATGGGTAGTTTGGTTATATTGAAGAGATATGAGGAACGTATCCTAGTCTGCTTGGCTCAGAAACATATTGCTGTAGACGTGACAGTCTGCAAAATGTATTTAATCCAATTAAACAAATATATATTCTATATTTATAATCATTTAAGTGCTTTACCTTGAGGATAGTTGTCAGATGACTTGTCAGATACTTTATTTGTTTGTTGTTGCTGAATCCGAACTAACCGAAGTCACACAACAACAGAAAAACAAACTAACCGAAACCACTTGTTTTTCCCACCAAATAGTTAAAATACTTTGATTAAAAATCCTAAAATGACGTCTTCACCTTCTACCTCATTTGACAAACATTTAGATTCTATGAATTTAGGTTAAAATATTTTCATTTAACAAAATGCGTCCTACATTACTGGAAACTGTTCTGTTGCTGAACTTGAAGCTGCATCAGAAACATCAACAAGCAATACAAGCTCTATTCTGTTCATACACTTAACCAGTGGCGACTCATCATTAGGGGCAGGTCCCACTGTCAGCAGAAATTAATTAAAATATTAATTCCAAAAATATGTATGAAATATATGTTAAAATATATTTAAAGATCATGTTTAGTCGTCTGATTCGTCTGTAGGCCTACATTGCTGTTTTAGTCTGTGTTCTTCTGATTAGTGTCCACAGTGTGCCTATGGAGCCGTGTTGAGCGATGTGGGGAAAGCCCCGATCTAGCCCCTCTCTCTGCTGTCAAAATGAATGGGTGCTGTAAAAACTACACTGCGTATATGCTCAGAGTCTTTTTGTATTCAATGTGTGCGGCAAAAACATAATCACAAGTGGGGATGAGTGCTGGCATCCCCATCAAAACGTAATCTCATAATTCAGAGCTGATTGGCTGAAAGTATGTGTGCCGCGAAAAGTGTAGTTGTGAAGAGGAGACAAGAGAGAGCAGCGTAGAGCGATTCAAATCAGTAACACAGAAAGAAAATGAATGAAGTTGACATCTACTTCAGCTTTGGTAAGTTCATGTTATGGCATATCTTTTGATGATCTTCTGTGTTTTGCCTATAGGCTATTGCTCTGCTGGATCGATTGATATTGTGTCCTCGGCGATGAGTGTCTGTGTTTTCCTTATATTTACAGTCTATGGTGTTTTAATGCTGAAGCATTACAGTTGTTGTTGTTGTTGTTATTGTTAAGTATCGCTTTGTGATGGTGCCCTTTACTGCATGTGTTAAGGTGCATTACAATATGACATCCCTACGCTGTGTACGTAAATGTATGCGCTCACAGTGTTGCTCCGTGCTCTTCATTCAAGGCTTCCGACAGTATGTAATGTGACACTCCCCCCCCCTCTCCATGGATAGCCTACAGCTATTTGTTGACGTGTTTAAAAAAGCACCAGAAGCTTATATATAAACATCTCAGTTGTTCGTGCCCCACCACTTTTGTACATATGAAAACGCCACTGCACTTAAATAGCGCTCATCACTAAAAGCTAATAACTAAAACTACTTTAAAGGTAGGGTAGGTAAGTTTGAGAAACCGGCTCGAGATCGCTAGAATTTGAAAATACACAGCCGGAGAAAATCTGCCACTTCCTTACAGAGCCCCTCCTCCAACACACACGAACGCGCACATGACCAATGAGGGCACGAGATAAGTTTGTGCACAGATGGAAGGCTGACAGGCAGGTAGGCCATCCAGTTATTTTAGCCGGGCCGGCTCAGATGATTGGTCCTGCTTTTTACAGTACTACGGCTTCCACAGATGACATTTTTTATGGATTTTTTGTCAAAGCACTTCAGATATTCATTGCTATCGGGATGTTAAGAGCATTCCATGGAATATAACAACAAGTGTATCTCGAGCTGGTTTCTCAAACTTACATAACCCACCTTTAAGATATAATAACATATTGAAGTTTGGTTCCTCTTCTCTTGGTTTACACTCCTTTCCCTTTTGTGGCTGCCGGCCCAGCCTTCTTCTTCTGGGCTCCTGTAAGTGATCAGTTCAAAAGAAATGTAATTATATTGTTAATGTGAGATTCATGATGCAGCAAGAGACATAAAAAACACAACTAAATACTCTCCAATGTCTAATATTTGTCACTGATGTTGATGAAACAAGAGACATCTTTACCCTGAGGTCTTCCTCCAGTCAAGGGTTACACTAGATTCCTTTTTCTCTGAGCCATCTGCTCCAGCTCCAGCTCCAGCTCCAGCTCCACCAGCTCCACCTCCTGCTCCACCTCCTGCTCCACCTCCTGCTCCAACTCCAGCTGCACCATCAGCTGCACCATCAGCTGCACCATCAGCTTCACCTCCGGCTTCACCTCCGGCTTCACCTCCAGCTCCACCTCCAGCTTCACCTCCAGCTTCCCCATCCGCTCCACCAGCTCCACCTCCTGCTCCACCTCCGGCTCCACCTCCGGCTTCACCTCCCGCTTCACCTCCCGCATCCCCCCGATCAGATCCACCTCCACAGGTTTGTGATCACTGACAGTCTTAGTCTGGGACAGAAAATATCATTAAATAGTGTCAGTAATTCACCTCATGCTTTGCCTGCTCTGGGGGGTTTCCACATTGCCTTATTTTGTGTTTGTTCTTCCGGTTAGAGTATGTGCGCTATTACTTGGAAAAGGGTTGCGAGCTTCATCAACATTTGTTTAACAAAGAAACAGTGTTTAAAGCTTTTGAATGACTGTTATTAAGTTGTAACACTTTTTCGGGTAAGAAACTAACCATTTAGATAACCATTATGTGATTTGTTTATCCAAACAACTCATATTTGGGAATTTAAAAGATGTTTCCAGCTGTGAGCAGCTGCTGGCTATTTGACAGCTTAATAAAAGTCAACAGTGTTTTTAAAATGACTCTCACTGCCAGAACTGAGACACAAGTTTGCACTGCAAGTCTAACTGTAGGATATTAAATAATAGTCCAAAATTATGCGAGCCACCAATTTGTCAATAGGTAGCTAGATAGCTGACATTATCTTGTTAGATATATAGCTAACATAAACTAGCTAGCTAAGTGAGATAGAGAGCAAATGTTTCAGAGGTTGTAAACTTTCGCTAGTAAGCCAGTTTGAAAGATAGCTAATGTTCGTTTGGCCAGCTTGTTAGGTAGATAGCTAACGTTAGCTAATCTTTGTCCACCCTTCTGGCAGTTTTTATAAAACTATCCTAATGTGCTTTAGTATGCTGTCCAACCAGTCGGTGGGCTTCGGTAGTGTAGCTGTTAATAATCCCAAATAAAATGTATTGTTTACGATGCTGCTAGTGCTAAACCGGAAAAATGTAAATATATGCATTTAAACCGGTAATGTGTTGGGCTGTGTCACTTCAGCAGGTTTCAGTGTTACAGTAGGGGAGAGTGGGGGGTAACATCTCATCGTACCAACGATACCAATCCCCTAAACATGAGTCTCACTTGTTCTTGTGTCAAGTTCAACTCTTTCTTGAAGTTGTAGGCTTTGGCTGAGTCGGGGACGATGGCAATGCTCTCTCCGTAAACCACGATCCTGTTGTTTGGAAATGCAGCACAATTCATTTTTTTTAACAAACACAAAAAATGCTTGGATTAAACTGTAACAATGAAATGTGTATTACCTGTCGTAGGTGTTTTGTGTTATGCTACTAGTCGTGGTGTCGACATCATCGACTATCAGCCAACGAAAAGGAGCCCAGGAGATGCGGAGCTTTTCCTTCTTCTTCTTGGAGAGATACTGTCCATCGGCATTAAAGTCTCCCAAAATCATAATGTTCTGCAGAAGAAAGAACACAAGCAAATTCAGAATGGAAAAACACATTTTGTTCATTTGTTTTTACTTTATTCATACTGTAGGTATTCAAAGCTTAAACAAAGTGTGCTTACATGAGAAACATAATTAAACAAAACTATTAAATCTCTCAAAAACCTACTTAATATCGTGATAAACTCAAAATGATTAATGTTAAATGTAAAGATTTTACCACATTGTTTTTCTCTCAAACCCATCAATAATATTTTAAACACTTACATCCTTCTTCCATTTTTCCCTCACATCTTTAACCACTTCATGCAGAGCGATCAGCTCCGCCTCTGCGGCACTTGGTTTGGTGTGGACCGGGATCAACACCAGATTCTGCACAGCTGGAGGCAAACACACACACACACACACACACACACACACACACACACACACACACACACACACACATACACGCCGTTATCGCAACCTAAGTATAATTTAAAAAAAAGTATTTATGTTTAAACAGTCCATATATGTCTTTCCTAAAGTTAGGACCTCACAATATAGAAAGGTCCTCACAACTTAGGTTGCCTTCACACCTAATAGTCCGCTTCTCTGATAAAGTCAAAGTCAACTTTATTGTCAATCTTCCAGTTTGTGTGTACAGACAGAGAGATCGAAATACCATTTATCAATACACAATCAATGACACATTTGTACATGTGCACAAATTAAGACCTACATAAAAACACAACAATCAATATATACAAAATAAAAGTCACTTCAATATTTTGAGAATGTGCGTTAGAGCAAGATTGGTGCGCATCAGACGACAGATTTTCTGAAGGTTCGGTTTGCGTTCACACGGACAAAACTCAAACGGACTATAAACTTTAAACACAAGTCATGTGCACGGAAATGCTGTTTAACCATTGGTCAGACATTAAGGGGGTAAAAACGCAAACCCCGGCAATTTCTACCGTAGCCTCCGCCATGGAGCATCTGCAGGTTATTTTCATGCTGCTGTTAATCTGGAGATCATCAGACTCTAGCGGCCCACATATGATTATACAATCAGACAACGCGCGTTAAGAAATATTATAACACATATAATGATTAAATGAAACACACCTTTGAGGACCTACATAAACAGACCATTGTTGCCTAACCGTTAACCCCTATTTTAACTAAAGAAGTGCTTTAACATTCTGTAGTCCATTGAACAGGGTTCCCGCGGGGTCTTAAAAAGTCTTAAATTTGATAATCTGAATTTAAGGCCTTAAAAAGGTCTTAAATATGACCAAAAAAATAAGAAAGGTCTTAAATATGATTTAGAAGGTCTTAAAAATGATCGGATTTGAAAGGTACTTCTGTGTTGCGATAGCGTCTAAATGTGTTTTGGGGGAAATGTCCGGGCTGCAAAGTAACCAGTACGGTAATAGCCTTTCAGTAACCCCCAACAATTTGTATTGAAACAAATGAACATGGAACCAGTATACACTAACTTTGTTTCCCCCGGCCCCTTATCGGAGAACACCCAGCTAGTAACCTAGCAACCAAGCTTCAGCTAGCGGCAGTCAGAAACTCATGTATCTTCGAATAAATATGGGTGTAGGTGCCATAATGCTACTTAGCCCAAGTTCATTATTTGTATTATTATTTGTTTACATCACTTTTATTTGTTTGTTGAGCACTTCCGGTAACTGTCACATGGGTGTGGTTTGTGTATTTAAGTCACCTGTTTCATGTCGAGTGCGGATGACAGAGGGTGAGCTTGTGCTGTCATTTTTTCTGTTGACCGTTTTGTCCATGTTATGATTTTGTTTATTAAATATCCCAAAAAACTATCTTGCTTCACTATGGACTTTCTCTTCGAAAACGCGTCACAGTTTATAGCCAAGTTTAGCCTCTCGGCGACTCAAACGCAACTGGGGATTGAGCCGCCACATTAAGTCAACAGAAAAAACGGTGATTCGCATCAGAGACTGAACTGGACGGACCGGCCGGCTTCCTAAGCTTACGGATCGCTTGGACGCTTCGGATAACGGACTTAACATTCTGTACCTTTGGAACCTTCGGACCGTTTTTCCCAAATCGATATGGATTGGAGTAGCCACGAGGACTCACTGATGGACACTCATTGACTGCAGCGCACAACAAGCTGAAAGCGGTAGGCACGATTATATCCTTTCTTGTGTATTTTTGCTGGACACAGTTTGGGAAGCGTGACCGTTTGTCCATTGGGGACTTTGGCTTTTGTTGTGCGCTTGTTGTGCCGTTAGCGGCGGTTGTGTGTGCTTGTTATGCCGTGAGCGGCGGAAGTTTTCGAATTGTTTGTTTTGCTGTGGCGGGCGGGCCGCGCTGGTTTAAGTTTCATACCAGTGAACACTGTCGTGTTACTTTAAATGCTAAGGCACCACACATATTGCATCAAATATGAGTGACACAAACGATGGAATGGAAAAAAGGACTGTCAAGCTTACTAGTAAAGCCTTGGCTTGCAAAATCGAACAACTGCAAAAAGAATGTCAGTCAAACGTGCAGAAGATTAAAGGACGCACACAGGAAATCAAACATCTAATGAAAAATGATGAAAATGCAAAGGATGTTAAACTCAAACTGGACAAATTAATTCATCAATATGAAAATGCAAAAACAGCACATGAATCAGTTATTATGTTGCTTTCCGAAGACGACCTGGAAATACAAAATAACTGGTTTCAACAAATAACAAAACATAACAATGATGTTATGGAGGATGTACAACAATGGCTCTTGGAAACTGGGAGGAGGCCCTTTCTGCAAACAGGTCATGTGACTGCCAATGAACCAATCGCTGCAAACACAGATATTCCTCTCATTCTACGAGGCACCTGCCAATGTAAAGGAGCAATTTGAACACACTGAGGCTCAGCAGGACGTTCTCTTTCCCCCGTCAAACATGAAGGCTACATCATGCACACAAGATGATATACAACCTGGTGACAGCATATCAAACATTGGTAGCACAAAAAGCAGGCAAAGCTCAAGATCAAGAGTTTCCAGCACCGCATCTGCACACATAAAAGCTGAGGCCGAAGTGGCAGCCATGAAAGTACTCCAAAAACTCCTAAAGGACAAACATGTCCTGGAAGCACAAGAGCAGGAATTGAGGAGGAAAAAGCAGGAATTGAGGAGGAAAAAGGAGCAAATGGAATTAGAAGGAAACATTGCTGCCACCATTGCAAAAATGAAAGTGTTAGCAGCCCCCAGGGGATCAGCTAATTGTTCTATATCATCCAATGGCATGCAGTCATATTTTGAAACGGGACAAAGGGAAATACAGTTTGTAACATTAAAACAACCAATCATAACCACCACAGACAGAGCTGTCACTAACATTGATACAGCTCCCCTAACACCCAATGCAGGCATCAGGAATCTAGATGAACATCTACGTGTAACATCTCCAGATCCAGTAACTGCCACAAGCAACAGTGACAAGTGCAATATATTTTCAGTCATGGAAAAACAAAATGAAATAACCGCTTTATTAATCCAGCAACAGTGTCTATCATCCATGCCCAAGAAAGACATTCCAGTGTTTAATGGTGACCCACTTCAGTACCAAACATTTGTGAGATCTTTCGAATTCAATATTGAAAGCAAAAACAATAACCCCAGAGACTGCCTCTACTACCTGGAGCAATATACAACAGGACTGCCCAGAGACCTTGTACGGAGTTGCCAACATATGGCCTCAGACAGTGGATTCAGCAAGGCCAAATGGTTACTACAACAGAACTTTGGCAATGAACATAAAATTGCTACAGCATACATGGAAAGAGCTCTTTCATGGTCATTAATAAGGGCTGAGGACACAAGGGCTCTACAGGCATACACGGTCTACCTTAGAGGATGTTGCAATGCGATGGAAGATGTCAACTACATGTTTGAGCTCAACATTCCAGCAAACATGCTAGCCATTTTAAAGAAACTTCCATATAGGCTGAGGGATTTATGGAGAACTGTAGCATGTGACATCCAGGAAAAACACCACCAAAGAGCTGCCTTCAAGGATATTGTGGAATTCCTTGAAAGGCAAGTAAAAATTGCTACAGATCCCATATTTGGGGACATTAAAGACCCCCCTCCCGTAAGCAAAGACATGAGAAGGCCACAGCCTCATCCAAGTGGAAGCATCTTTGCAACCAACGTGAAGGTTACAGAAAATAAATATGACAGAAGCACTGTAGAAAACTGTTTGTATTGTAGATGTGAACATGCTCTGGAGATGTGTCCACAGTTAGGAAGGAGGACACATCATGAAAAAATCACATTTCTTAAAGAAAATGGTCTTTGTTTTGGCTGCCTGTGTAAAGGACACATAAGTAGAGACTGCAGGAAACGAATGAGGTGCAACATATGCAATCTAAATCATCCCAGAATGTTGCACATCTACCAACAAAGGAAGGAAATGGAAAACGAGCAGGAGGAAATGGAAGAAGCATCGGCAAACACTGCTGAAGCCTCAATTCAGACAGGTGGCCTTACTGGGGCCGGTGAAGATGGTTGCAAACTCTCCATAGTACCAGTCCAAGTTAAAGCCCAAAAGGGGAACACAACAGTGCATACCTATGCATTTCTTGACCCAGGCAGCACTGCTTCGTTTTGCACATTAGGCCTTATGAACAAACTTAACCTCCAAGGAAGAAGGTCAAACATTCTGCTGAGAACTATGGGTCAAAGGAAGGTCGTTGAAACCAGCATTGTGTCAGGCCTAGAGGTTGCTGGACTGCATAACAGCAACTTTTGTGATCTCCCCGGCATATACACTTAGAAGACTATGCCCGTGCACAAAGGAAACATTCCAAGTCAAACCGACATCAATCAATGGTTGCATTTGAGGGATGTTTGTCTACCTGAAATTGACGCTGAAATTGAGTTGCTGATTGGTTCAGATGTTCCAAAAGCCCTTGAACCAATTGATGTAATCAGGAGTGTGGGGGATGGACCTTATGCCGTAAAAACCATGCTCGGATGGACAGTTAGTGGACCATTAGGAGGATGTCCTGATGATACTCGGGACAAAACTTCATTAAGTGTAAACATGGCCGAAGCGCTGGTCTTATCTGCTTTCAGCGGAGAGGAGATGGACACTGAAAAGGCAGAAAAGAAGGGTGATAGGAAAGAGAAAGGGGCCCAGAAGAGCAAGAGAATTATCCGTGCTCCCATTGACAGTGAAGACAGTGAGCCTGAGCAAGAGAAAGGTGGAGAAATAGAGGAGGAACAAAAGAATGAGGTGAGGAAGGAAGCTAAATTGATGAAGGAACATAAGAAGAGAAGGAAGAGGGAAGCTAAAGAGAGAGGGCAGCTTGAAAAACAAATTGCCAGTCAACGGCTGAAGGTACACGGATTAATGAGCCAAATGTCAAACCTGAAATATGAACTTTCACAAGAAGAAGAAGCGTATAAGGCTCTTGAAATCCAGATGAACACTCAAAAAGCACCAGGAATGGAAGCAGAAAAACATGTTATCAAAGAGGAACTACAAGATATTAAATTGCAAGCGAAACCAACGAGGAAGAAGAATAAGACAAGTTTACACTTCCGGCTGCCATCTTAGTTTGGAACAAGTCAAATTTGAGAGACGTTTGAAACTCCTCCTTTTCTTTTTTTTTTTTTTCCAGCTTAATGAAATGTTTGTGCGAATATGGAAATAGTGTCAACATATAGAAGCCAACGATTAAAGAGTCTAAAAAGCCACAGAGGAAAAGAGGATTGAGATCCCTCGGATGGAGAACATGGTGGCAAACAAGAAGAAAAGAGACTCGTACGTATGCTTCGGATCAAGACCAAGACTGGTTTCTTGAGCAGACCAATTAACGAAGTTAGCCTTCTTCAGGAGGCAGAGGACTTTTTCCAAGTCTAAACGGACTATTTTTTGTCTTTTATTTTATTTTTTGTCTCCTGCCCCCTGCACACACACAAACCACATTTTTACTGATACTGATTAGTGAGTAAAGATCACTTTTCCAAAAAGACTGCAATTTATGAACTCTGAACAAAAATAATTCAAGAAAGAGATCTGGACGTATATTGTGTGTATTGTCATTTATTATAGTGTAATTATAATTTTGTGAAATGATAATTAGGGGCCGGTATTGTAGGTGCCATAATGCTACTTAGCCCAAGTTCATTATTTGTATTATTATTTGTTTACATCACTTTTATTTGTTTGTTGAGCACTTCCGGTAATTGTCACATGGGTGTGGTTTGTGTATTTAAGTCACCTGTTTCATGTCGAGTGCGGATGACAGAGGGTGAGCTTGTGCTGTCATTTTTTCTGTTGACCGTTTTGTCCATGTTATGATTTTGTTTATTAAATATCCCAAAAACTATCTTGCTTCACTATGGACTTTCTCTTCGAAAACGCGTCACAGTTTATAGCCAAGTTTAGCCTCTCGGCGACTCAAACGCAACTGGGGATTGAGCCGCCACAATGGGGAAGTGTAAGTTCAACCGTTATTGGTTGGAAAACTTCGAATTTAGTGCTTGGTTGAAACCAGGGGAGGGGAACGTGTTTGAAGCCCGCTGCACCTTTTGCAAAATAAATTAGCGTTTGTTTGGCTAATGTAGCGTTAGCTAGTGCAGCGTTAGCTAGTGCAGCAGCTCCCGCAACAACACCGGGGGACCTCCGGGCAACGTTTGGGTCTTCGACGTCAACCCTAAAAGCGGAGGTGCTGTAGACGCTAAATACCGTAGTTGAACACCAATCATACAACAGCAACGATGAAAGATTGTAGCCAAGGCAGCAGAGCTCTGAATATAGCTCTTGTCACTCTCTCTCTCTCTCTCTCTCTCTCTCTCTCTCTCTCACACACACACACACACACACACACACACACACACACACACACACACACACACTAGGGCTGCTCGATTATGGCAAATATCATAATCACGATTATTTTGGTCAATAATTGATATCACGATTATTAAATACGATTATTAATCGACTTTGAAAACATCCATTTATTGAACTTTAAAACAAATAATAATTTGAACAGTATCTTTTTAACTGTTGATTACCCTGAACGTATAATTCAACTGCAAAACCAATACAAAATAAATTAAATAAATGATACATTTAAATAAATAATATCAAAAATAATAAATACCAATAAACAAGATCAACAAATATTTTGGAGCGCACTTCCACAAGCTACTAAACATATACAAATATGATAAATAAAAATAAATTAGACTAAAATTAATTAGATCAAATATGTTGTAGTGCATGTCACAACCTAGCAAAGCAAAATAATCGATTATGTTGTTTCGTAGTTGCGATTAAAATACGATTAATTGCACAACACACACACACACACACACACACACACACACAGAGACACACACACATACACACTTTTTGTCTAACACGCTAACACAGTTCTGTACTGTTATGCTGTTATGTTCAGTCATTGTTCTTATGTTGAACATGAATACATTTACTTTGTAAGTAATTATGGGACGTATTTCTTCTTTCATAGCAATTTTCCTTCATACTTTCTTGCCGTGAAATAGGTCTTAAATTCTATTCAAAGTGGTCTTAAAAAGGTCTTAAAAAGTCTTAAATTTGAGTTGGCGAAACCTGCAGGAACCCTGATTGAAGGTCTGTACCAAAATAGAGAAGAGGCCAAAATGTCCTCATAATCCATAAAGGACACAAAACCCAAATTGATCCTCACAATGAAAGTCTAAAAAACTAAAACACACACACACACACACACAAATACCTGTGTTTGGAAAATGTAGAAGGACAGCGAAAGGCTTTCTGGTGAGCACAGCATTTCCTCTGTACTGGTAGGAGTCTTCTATCTCCACTTCGTCCTTTCTAAAACACAAAGCCACAAACATGTACTGTATTATAAAGCTTATAAACACACATGTTATGTTTTGTTTGTTTATTAATGTATTTGTGTTAGATAGTGAGATAGCTCATAAACCACTGGAAGTTTTTCAGTAAAGCCTTGTAGGAAATGCATGTAGAGTTTGGCCCAACGGCACAATGTGTTGATTTGTAAAGCCTATGATGTTCTGGGTCTTAGCTACCGGACCATAGACAACAAATGTATGTGTCACAGATTACTGGTTCAAAAATAACATTACTGATTTTTGTCTTTGATATTCCACACAGTTTTTCATTAATAATTATCCAATTGAATGTGGCTGTTACCAATTTAAGACATATTTTATTTCCTGTGAGACATAACGTATAGCTCAATTGGTAGATTGATGTGTACTGAGGCTTGGTCTGACTCCAGTTCGAAGACCATTTGCCGTGTGTCATCACTCTCCATTTCAGGTCTGTCTCTACAATAAAGGCACTGGTGCCCAAAAAGGTATTTTAACCACATACAGGATTGTCTGTACTTGTGTTTCTGACCTGTAGAAGTAGACAAACTTCTCCTGTCTACCCTCCGGTCCCAGACGTTCACTGCACAGCATGCCGTACGGATTACTTCTGTTATCTCTGCCAGAAAACAGAAACAACTGGAACTGAACATCTCTCACAATCATCAATCATTTGTTTGTATCATTTGAGATGCCCCATAAGATTTAATTACCAACACTTGTTTTTAAGCAAAAGTGAAAAGAGGTGCTGCAGCACAGGCAGTGTGAGATAAATAAATTTCTGTACATTAAAGGGCCCATGTCATGGCCATTTCCACTGATCATAATTACATTGTTGAGGTATACTAAAATAGATTTATACTGTGCAATTTTCCAAACTCACATTGGTTTCGCATACAGCATCTCTGTCAAGCATGTGTATTCAGCAGTATTCACTTTCTCCACTAAACGACTCGTTGGAGCTCTTGCCCCCCCCTCCCTGTGAGCCTAGTGTGCTCCGATTGGTCAGCTCGGCCACTCTGTTCTGATTAGTCAACCACCAGAGAGGCTCCGCCCGCTTTTTTCGGGGAACATCAGTGTAATGGTACAGCTGATATTTTATACTAACTAACCGAACTGAACCTACAACTGTTGTTATAGAAGAGTGTGACGGCCCCAGGGCCTTTGTGCAGGTGTGTTGCAGGGCTTACAGTGGGGTGGAGCTGAAGAGGGTAATCAGCGCGATCACGGACACCTCCGTAGCCGGTGCTATTAATCCCAGCTGCCCGGAGTCTCTCTCCAAAGCGGCTGCAGAAGGACGAACTGAGCGACCCTCTCCCCTCGACCACCTATCTCTGCATTTACCACAATAAATGTGCCGTGGTTTTGTAAACTCGTGTATGTCTCCTTGCCTTTCCGTTGTGGCCTACGAGCCGGTCATAACAAAGAGTAAGTTATTTTTACCTGTAATTAACTACTACTGTTTGATGAGAAATCAAATCATGGTTTGCTAATATATGAATTCAGGGAAGAAAGGATAGGCCTACTAAGTATTTCCATTAAACTTTATTTTTAGAAATGTACAAAATGAACATAAATATACATATATACACACGGTATATCATCCATTCCTCCTCGCATCTTGCCTGCGCACAGCCGGTGCGGTGCGGTGCCTTTTAGCACGAGGCCTCAGTAGTAGTAGAAGTCCCGTCCCCGTCATGGATTGTCCGCCAGGATCTGGCTGGACGAAATCAAATGCAAATCACAAAATATTAGAGAAACTTAGTTGTTTTAGATTCGTTAGTAGTAGTTGTGTAATGAACAGCTTGCCTGCTAATATGCTAACCTAGCTTTGTTTACCTTGGTAGCTAACACGATATGAACGTTAGCTTGGAGGAAAGGCAACTATAATGCAGTGTAATAAAATTACTATGAACAAAAGCTAGTGGTTCATATTAGGCTAGCAATAACGTGTTTATAATTGCAATCGTATACGGGTATTCTGCTACCATACAATGTAACTTGCATGAATACATTGTTTTGCGCTAGCATACAGCTAGCCTCGTTAGCTACATGCAGTATATGTACTGTCACAATGTACGGTAAATCACCCGGACTATACTGTATGAGTATTCCGTGTGTGTGACTGCAGACATTCTCCTGCCATGACAAACATGTAAGGCCATCTGCTGACATAGCAACGTAGCATCACAAAAATGTTTTTCCGACCAAATCTAGCTCTAGCTCCGTGTGTTAGATCGGTTGCATACACGCTACGCCAGCTATAATGTAATTACGTTTCGCGACTGACCGCACGGCAAATCACCCGGAGTATACTGTCAATAGGTATTTTGTGTGTGAATGCAGACATTCTCCTGCTATGAGATACATGTATGCAAGGCCATCTGCTGATATTAGAGTTGATATATGGAAACTCTAGCAACTTAGTTAGCACAGTTAGCACTGTGTCAATGGCTTAGCAGTCCAACACAGTTTACACATTTAAAGAGTCTTGTTTGATAAATACACAAATAACAATGCAAACTTACAGGTTGTATACCCGGATCTTCCCCTGCTCCAAACGGTCCAAACAAGCTGTGCATATCCGGCCTCAAACTGGGCAATGTTTTGGAAGCTTTCCTCTGTGAAATGCCGGTTCTTCGAACCTCTGGAGGAGGAACACGCCGCTGCTGGTGTGGCCATAGCTCTTCGGGATTGGTCCATTTCGTTCCGGGTACCGCATGACATCAGGCGGTACCCGGAAGAATCAAATGGGCAGTGACGTATCTCCAACGAGGCGTTTTGGGGAGGTATTTTCTGTGTTAGAGTTTTACTCGCTACAGGGTGTACTTTGAGGGGTTTGACTCTGCACACCGTTTACATGCATAAAAACCTTCATAACACACAAGGGGACGGGTAATAACCGGAAAAGCATGACATGGGAGCTTTAAAGCATGTAAACATGTCACATGACCATAAATACACATTTTGAACCTGAACCTGCAGAATAGGGCCCCTTTAAATGAATGTGCATGCTTCTATGTGTGGAGAACTCACCCATATGCATTAAGGCAGGGGTTTTCAAAGTGTGGGAAGGTGAGCCTCCCCTCAGAGAATATAAGAACAGCCGCGCCCCCCCTCCCAATTATTATTGCTATTATTATTATTATTGTTGTTGCTATAATGCAGGGGTATTATTATCCAGTGGAATGCCCTTACCTACTGGCCTAGTTAAATCAAAATGGTTACTTATTTTTGTCTGGGCAGTGTAGTTTTATCCAAAGCTTTAGTGCGTTTTGATTCAATGCTGAGCACAGCCAAACTTGACAGTCTCTTCTCTGTCATTGTGAACCGCAAATACCTTATTCCTTCCGTGTACTTGGGTCCGAATGCTTCTCGTTTTCTGCCGCCCGTTCAAATGAAATCGCCGCCAATCACATTTCCTCGCTCGCGCCAGGGTTACAAGGCTCGCGTCTTGTGCTGCATTCACTTGCACTCGGACATCAGGGATTTTCTCTGATAAATGTCCGATGAGCCACAACTTTTATTTCAAAACAAAGCTGCCAACTGGGGTGGCCAGACGCTGTCTCCTCTCTCACTTTAGGTAACTTCACTAAAAATCGATCCATGTTGCCGCTCGCATAAAGTTAGCTGAAGTTAACGAGCTAGATTTCATTGTTTCTCTTTATTTTTTTCTCACGCTGCGCCTCCCCTGAAGCTCTCTGGCGCCCCCCAGGGGAGGCGCGCCTCACACTTTGAAAACCGCTGCATTAAGGTGTTTGAGGAGCAGTTTCATGGCATCACCACCTGTCTTATCCGTCACCTCCACCAGCACCACCACGCTGTACTGAGACATGATCTGCAAAACACAACCACAGAGAAAAGAAAGCATAGAACTAAAAGCACTTTTTACATTTTATAAATGTTTTCAATGCATAAAAAACAGCTCCTTTCCTTTAATTTTCTCACCATGTACAAAAACATTAACTGAAATATTACACTGAACAAACTTGTGTGGTTCAGCACGGTGAGTTACCTTAATGATAATTTCCCGTACGTCCTCCTTGTTGACCTTTTTCCATCCCAGTCTCTTCACATTGAAGGCAGCGATCTTCATTTTGACTAAAAATGTAAATCAAATGAATTTCATAGATTTAAACCGATACACCCAACATATTATCAAGGCCAGTGGTGGACAGTAACTAAGAACATTTACTAAAGTGCTGTACTCAATTACAAGGTACTTAACAAGAGTATACTGTATGTCCAATTAAAGAAACTCTATTATATTACTCTTCATCCAATACCTGCCACATTTCCTTACTTTTTCTCTATTGGGTTTCCATTTATGGGAGAAATAATCTCTGTCGTTAACAAATGTTTATGATACTTACATGTTTGGTTCAGCAGGATAATCTGCACATATTAACACCACTTTAAGATTTTTGAAGAGTAAATGCAATTGCCTTAACACAAGTAATCCGTACGACATGGAGTGCAGGGAACCTCTGGGAAGTAAAAAGGATATCAAAGTAAAAGTCAACTTTATTGTCAATCTTTCATGTTTGTGTGTACACATGCTTTGAAGCACTACAGTATCCTGTTGAAGGAACGGTGATAATATAATACACAAGGGAAAACAAGGTGAATTTAGCGATCCCAGCGAAAATGGCCAAGACACACATTGAGAAAAGAAAACAAATGTTATTAAGGGCTGTAAATATCATAAGCCTACGTCTAAAATGGACAACATTGTTAGGAGATTTAACCTCTTGAGGCCTGGGCCCTAACCCTCGAAAATGACATGCCCAGAAGGAATGAGTATATCTTCACAACTAAAAGGGGTATATGAATAACCTTTTTTATCAAAGCAATGATACACCTGTGAGTTGGCTGTAGAAGTGTCTGAATCAATTTAGATGTTGCTGTGTCCGAGTAAATTCAGGGTCAGGGTTCAGGGGTGAACCCTAACCCTGACCCTGACCCTAACCCTGGGGGCAATAGGGCTCAAGAGGTTAAACTATGCAGCGATTCTGCACTGCGGTCACTTCAGCCGTCTCTCGCTCTTCATCCCCTGCTATATTTGATGAGCGATACAAATATTTGTTACCATAAGTTCTTAATAAAACTGTCACTGTTAGACTCAGTACTAGTTTGACTGCTACCAGAAATAAAATGAAGTATTTACTGTGTACTTTGTGAGTAATCCTCTGTCAAACTCCCCTCCATGGTACATAATGCATGTTTTCCTGCTATCTTTGATGAGTGATAAAAATACAATTTTACAATTAGTTGTTATTGAAATTGATACTGCTGGACTCAGTTGTAGTACAGCTAATACCAACAATACAATGAAGTACCTTTACTGTGTACTTTTTGAGAAATACTCTGTCAAAGTCCCCTCCTTAGTACAAAATGCATGTTTTCCTGTTATATTTGATGAGTGATAAAAAATCAAATGTTACGATTCGTTGTTAATGAAATTGATACTGCTGGACTCAGTTGTAGTACGCCTACTAGTACCAACAATACAATTAAGTACTTCTAGTGTGTTAGACATCCTCTGTCAATGTCCCCTCCTGAGTACAAGAATGTATGTTGTTCTGCTATGTTTAATTATATTAAAATACCTTTCTTCCTGAGACTGATATTGTTGGACAGAGTCTTTTAAGAGGATATGGTAGACATGATGTCAGCACTACTTCCAGTCAGTACTCTCCGGCAGCAGCTTTTACCCCATGGAAAGTCTTTAGAGACTGGCCTGGATAGCTGGTCTATCCTTCAGCACAGTGACACACACTAGCCGCTTTCACACCAAGTACTTTGCCGCACTTAGTGCCGGCACTTAGTGCCCCGGCACTTAGTACCCCAGGTACTAAGTACCAATCACGTTCACACCGGAATAAGTTCCCTGAGGGAAGATTACTCAAATGAGCCGCTGACGTCACTTCGTCTTCTTCTGCTTTGGGTTTACTGGTTTAACTTCACGGCGTATACTGCCACCCGGAGTCCCCGGGGACTGGCTTCAGTAGAAGCTGCTGGGACTCCCAGCAGCTTCTACTGAAGCCTTCCGAGTAAATCGCCAGAACGCCGACACCTCCTCATCTCCACCGCTCCCATGTTTTTTTTTGTGTTGCCATAAGTTATTCTCTCTCCGTTGGTGCGCGGGGCTAATGCTAATGCTAATAATGCTAATGCGACAAATACAATGGCGGCTTCACAAAACTTTTCAGAGTTTTGCGGGGCGTGGTTTGCAATTCACCCAGCCAATAGAAATTGGTACTTTTTTGGTACTTTTTTGGTACCACCTCTCTAGCAGGCAGTAAAAATGGGGGTAAACGTTCCCGGCACTAAGTACTGTTTTTGGTGTGAACGCAACATAAGGGGTACTAATGGAACTAAACGGGAAAAGTACGGGGAAAAGTACTCCGGTGTGAACGCGCCTACTGTCACTCTTGTTGGCCTCTTATGATGGAGCTGTCATTTAAAATATGATTATTTCTCTGCTCCTAGTTCATTCCTCGCAGATTCTTCCATCAGTCCCAGTTATTGCATGTCAGTCAATGGGGCTTCAAAAAATGTGTCCAAATCAACTACATGTATTTTTTGTGAATGAAGGCCAGAGATAAATTATAGATTGTATCATTATTTTGAAATGTTTTCCTCCTTGTGTCATGTCTGATCCTACTTCCTGTGTTTGCCTTCCTGTCTTTAGTTTCCCTGGGCTGCGTCTCACTTCGGTTATTTTTCATTTCCTCGCTCTTCGGTCTCGGTATCACCGGAAGTTGATTTGTCTGCCCCATCTTGAGTAGCGTCCCAATGGCCTTATTTGTGCCGGAGGACCGAGGATCGAGGAGCGAGGAGCGATAATGGAGGAGCGATAATCGAGGAACCACCAGACCATCCTCCGGTGAAATCCTCAGATACTCTCCCCGCCCCCTTACTGTGTATCGCTCACTGATTGGACGATGCAGCGCATGCACTGATCTGATGCTTCTTGACATGAGAGCAGTTTCCCAGCGGAGTGAAGAAAACACATGAAACTCACGGGACTCACTCCTCAGTTTATACTGTGTTTTGTTTCAATGCATGCATCATTCAGTTACAAATATGTGATATATCTGAAAAACAAAGTGGTCAAAAATGATTTTATTCATTTATTGGAAACATTTTCATGATCGCTTTTTTCGTTTTACATTTTCATTGATTGTCATTTCCATTCAGTCAGTCATTAAGTGCTATTTAACATGTTAATGTGCTACATATCCACACAAACAAACAAAGTGTGCAATCCAATGAATGTTAATCTAACTGGGTTTTGATAGATAACATATCTCTTTTTCTTCTCTGAATTATTTTATTTCTATTGTGCACTCTAATCAATATTAATCAAACTATTGTTCGTTTATAGATTTTAAGAATGGCGTTTATCTTTTTTGAGAATGAGTTCTTATTTTATTTCATATATTTGGGTCTACAACAGATGATACAAATGTTTATGTCGGTAAATGTGTACTAACAGAGGCGGGGGTGTTTGTGAAAATAACGTGGACAGAGCTGCTGTCAGACGATCAGCTGTGCGGAGTCATCACAAACGGACGTCGCTTCACGTGACGCTCCGGAGGAAAGGACGTCCCATTGCTCTTAAAACTCATTTCCCTGCTTCTCGTGGTTTCCTTGCGTCTCTCCATGCTTCCCTGGTGGGAGGGACTAAACGCAGGGAAACGACGCAAGTGAGGGGCGTAAGGATTTAATTTAACCAAAGTGAGATGCAGCCCAGGTGTGTCTGATTGTGTTCACCTGTTGCCCTTGTGCTTCTGCCTCCCCTGCCAGCTGTGTCTTGTCCTGTGAATACCCTTCTGTGTATTTGGTCTTGTCTTCCCCTGTGCTCCATGTCTGTTTGTCATCTCTCCTCGTCTATGTTACCTGCCCGTCTCTTGATGTCCATGCTACCTGTCACGCTCCATGTTTGTTCCTGAGTTTTTTTTTTGTCCTGATCCTTCCTTGTGCTCCCTGGTTTTGGTAATGTTAAAGGGCCCATGTCATGCTTTTCCGATTATTACCCGTCCCCTTGTGTGTTATGAAGGTTTTTCTGCATGTAAACGGTGTGCAGAGTCACAAATCCTCAAAGTACCCCCTGTAGCGAGTAAAACGCGAAGATTACACAAATGAGCCGCTGACGTCACTTCTTCTTCTTCTGCTTTGGGTTTACTGGCAGGCCGCAAACAACTTCACGGTGTATACTGTCACCCGAAGACTCGGAAGTCCCCGGAGTTTGGGACTGGCTTCAGTAGAAGCTGCTGGGACTCCCAGCAGCTTCTACTGAAGCCTTCCGAGTAAATCGCCAGAACGCCGACACCTCCTTATCTCCACCGCTCCCATGTTTTATTTTGTGTTGCCATAAGTTAGTCTCCGTTGGTGCGCGTTAATAATGCTAATGCGAGCAAATAAAATGGTGGCTACACAAAAACTTTTCTGAGTTTTACGGGGCGTGGTTTGCAATTCGCTCAGCCAATCAGAAATTGGAACCTTTGTCTCCCCAGGAAAGTACCACCTCTCTAGCAGGGACTAAAAAGGGATGAAACGGTTCCAGAAAAAAAGTTGTCGTTCCAGATCTTTTTGGTGTGAACGCAAAATCCCAGGAACTATCGGAACTATTCCTGGGAAAAGTACTCCGGTATGAAAGCGCCTATTGACTACCACTCAACTTTGCCAGCTCACGAGATGCACACGGAAGAGTGACTGGAGGGAATAAACAGCGAGGCCTACTCCCAGTACGGCTGTGCTGAGGTGGATTTCCCCCGGAGACGTCGCAAAGAGACGGAGCGGCTCCACCTGTTGCTGCCTGCTTTCCACCTGTCTGGTGTCTGCGATCTGCGGAGGCCTGCTCCCACCTGTAGAGTACGGCTGTGCTGAGGAGGTTTTTACCCCGGAGTCGTCGCGGAGAGACGGAGTCGTCGCGGAGAGACGGAGTGGCTCCACGCTTCGGGCTTGGCCTGCTTCCACCGGGCATGTGCTGCTGTGCGGAGGAGGATTTAACACGGCTGGGGCCTGCTTTCCACCTGTCCTGGTTCTGCTGTTGCGGAGGCCTGCTCCCACCTGTCGTGTGCTGCGGTGTCGTG